CCCCAAAATTGATTTCCAGATATTGCAATTTCTTAACTTGCAAAAATTCACCAAAAGAGTCGAAAAATTTTTTCGCTCTTCCAAAAATCTAATTTTCTAGCAGCTTCAAATAAAAATGACTGACATAAGTCTGGTGCGTGATATAATCTGAAGCGTGTTCAAAAGACGAATTTTTGACATTCTTGCTTGGCCCAAAATTGAAAGGAAACTCAAAGCTTTGTGATACACGGGGATTTTGTTGAATTTCCCCAAATTTGTAAGTAGGAAAGGATTAAATTGGGCAAATTCAATCAGAACAGATAAAATCACTATTATCGAGGTCCATCAGCATTAAACCTTACCTTTGCGACTTTAACTCCATGTAGAGCTATCGCTCTCAAGCTAAACACTTGTCCAATTTTGGTGTTCGGCTGGAATCGAATGGCAAGCGTTATTTCAGTATCTCCCTCTGTAAACACATCTCATAAATTTCTGTCTCCAGCTAACTCTCTTGACCGTACATCAAAAGTTTCCCTTCTTTGATGGTGGGATTGAAACAGGAAATTTATTATACTTCATCAAAAAATCAAAAGATTTTTGGAAGGAAAACGACGACTTTTTTTGGCGTACCGTGAACTTTCCAAGCCTCCGAAGTTAGATTGACATAAGACGCTGGAGTTTTTAGGAATACCCGCCTAGCTATAAAATCATCTATGGAAAGCACCCGGCCGATGAAGAGAATAGCGATGGCGGTTACTCCCGCCCACATCCTGAAATGCTATAAAAAATTTAAATTTATTGAAAAATAAGCCATAGTCCAGGAGAAAAATATTTCTGCTGAAGCAAAATCGAAAAAGAAACAGAGTAGGAGTAAGTAGGTGAGGCAAACTATGTATGCATTTCTGAAATACGGACTCACGGTGGTTTATGATAATGGAAATTGTAAAAATGAGAAAATGCCTTCGCGCCAAATCGATGAAATATTACCCTCGTTTAGTAATCTGTTTCACTAATCCGTCACTAATCCCCTGAAATATAGCAACTAATCTTAGAAGCTGATAAGCACGTAAAGTGCAAGATCTAGTGTTTCTATGTTTAACTCGCTAAATGTTACCTGCCTTACAAAACAGCAGATGTACCTGGAGATTGACGATAAAGTTTCTTGTACTTTCTTATAAAAGAAAAACATGAAATTTATCAATTGAGAGGTTCTCGGACTTTTGGCGCATCCAAAATATCAGTTTCATTTCCTGCGGACCCGTGGCTTGCTCACATATATTT